AAACTCACAGAGCATGCTGCTCTCTCTAGCTACCTCATTAGCTTTTCCTCCCACTGCCAAACTTCTCTAACTTTTGGCAGCAAGGAAGAAGTCTAGTTAAAGTTAGATTGCAATGAAGGAGATAGCTAGCTCCCTACAGGCTCTTTCTCCTTCATTGCAATCTAACTTTAACTAGACTTCCTCCTTGCTGCCAAAAGTGCTATCACAAAAGTCACCAGTGACCTGAGAGTTAAATTCAGAAGACTTGTCTCAAAATTCATTTTTCTTTACTTCTGTACTGCATGTCCTTTTATCTTCAAATCAATACAGTATCTTCTACATCTACCAGTGCTTGTTTCCTTAATTGCTTCTCTTCCTGACTTAATTCTGTACTGTCTTGAAGGTTCAGACATTGCTACTTTAGTCTTTGCTCTCTATACTCTTTCCCCTGAAGAGCTATTTTATTATTAATGGTCTTAAAATAGCTACAGTACAAAGTTTTCTAGGAAAACAGCAAGAAAAAACAATTCAACATGTCCAAAACTGAACATAGCTTTCTTCCTAAATCAGTTTTCTTTTCCATTTTTAGTCAATAATACTGGTTACCCAAGTTTCAAATCCTGAGATCATTTTTGATCCATCATTCTTCAAAATTACAAAATGATCAAGTTATGGGAATCTTTCCTTCAAAATGTATTTATAGCCATTCCTTCTTCTCCATTCCCACTCTCATCCATCATTTTTGTCTATGTTCTCATCAACCTCAAACTGGATAATTGCAAGTCTTTTGACTCTCCTGACTCCACTATTTCCATTTTTCAATCTATCCTGAATATGCTGCTCATTTTCCTTAAACACAGCTTTCATCAGTCTATCTTGCACACAGCTGTCAGACTGATGTCTAAAACACAGACCTGACCATGTTTCCCCTTACTCAAAAATCTTCAATGGCTCTTTATTGCCTAGAGGATAAAATAGAAAATCTGAAGACTGGCACCGAAAGCCCTCTTTAGCCTGATTCTCACTTAGCTTTCCAATCTGACTTCTTATTACTTTCCTTTATGATCTGTCTATTCCAGTCAACCTGACCTTTTAGCTCTTCCATATACATGACATTCCATCTTCCTCCTACATGCCTATGTTTAAGTAATTTCCCTATGCCTGGTAATATTCTTTCCCCATCTTTAGCACATAGAAACCTTAACTTTCCTAAAAAAAAAAGTCTCAGATGTCACCTCTTGTATGAAGCTTTTTCTGATCCTTCTATTAGCACTCTCCTGAAATACCTTTCTTACTTTGCATATATTTTGTGTTTATTTATATGTGTAAACATTGTATTCTTTCAGTGGGTGGTCCTAGTTGGAGTTTTTGTCTATGTTCCTGATACTTGACACAATGCCTGGCAGATGGTAGATGCTAAATAAAAGTCTCGTGAACTGATTTAAATCAGTTATTTCCCTGCTCAGAATAGTTCTGTAGCTCCTTATTTCTTGTTCTATCGAAGGTCCTTCTACCTATCAAGGTCCTTAATTATCTGGCTCCTATTTATCCAAAAGCATTTGTCATTACTTCTCAGTATACAACTTCTACTTTTTGAGAATTTTCACTGTTTGTACCCCATGCCTTGAAAGCTCTGCCTTGTCATTAGAGGGAGAGCATGTCACAAAAGAACATTCAAGTCCCAGCTAAAATCCCATTTTCTATAGGTAGTCTTTTCTAATCCCTCTTAATTGTTTCGGTATATAGCTTGTTTGTACATAGTTATTTGCATTTTTTCTCCCTTATTAGATTGTAAGTTCCTTGAGGGCAGGGACTGTTTTTTTTTTTTGCCTTTCTTTGTATACGTAGCATTTGTCATAGAGCCTGACATAGGCTTACTACATAAGTACCTAATAAATACTTATTGACTAACTAATGAGTCAGCCAAGTTTTCTAGTGTTTCAAGAACATTATTCTGAATACAGTACTGTATTTTTTCAGGTTTTGTACTCCTCCTATACAGTAATCATTCCCCCCTCCCCATACTACCTATTCTTTAAGGCCCAGCTCATATATCACCCATTCATTAAGCCTTTTCTGAGTATTCTAAACCGTAGTTGACCTCTCATTCCTATGAGCTGCACTTATGCTACACAATTTAGCATTTAAATGTATGCTGTCCAGTTATTCATTTGTACTATTTCATTAGTATTTCATGTGTAAATATTGTTTCAACAAAATTGTATGCTTCCTGAAGACAAGGGGTGTCTTTTACTTTTTATATATTCCACAGTGGTTATAATAGTTCATGTTGAACATATAGATATCCTTGTTCATTGAAAATACATCTATAGTCTTAATCTACTTTGTGCATACATGTTTTAAACCCTCATATTATTAAAAGAGAAAGGCCTTCAAGGCATCAGGTGGATCCTCTGTGGATAAGAATCACAGAGGATAAGAAGGCTGTAACACTAGAGGGAATACCCACATCAAGGAAATCACACATCTATTGAGATACAAGTTTACTTTTCAGGTTCAGCACCTGGCTAGTGAAATTACATAATCACAGAAATAATTGAACATTACTTGAACAATATAACTTTACCATGTTCTTCACATAACTTCATTTCAAAGAAGATATTAATAGGTCAATAACATGCATATTTCTGGAGCTACCATAATTCATCCTCTTCCCCATATGTAAATAAGGAAAACAGTGGTTAAAGACTGATGAACTGTATTAGTACATGTTGTGCTTAGTTTATCAGTATCTTTTAAAAAAAATTTAAATTAATTTTTAGTTTTCAACAATCACTTCCATAAGCTTTTGAGTTTTAAATTTTCTCTGCCTCCCTCCCCAAGACTGCACGCAATCTATCAGTATCTTTCAACCTTTATAACTAAACAGTAATCGATTTTTTATATATAATGTTTTCCAATATTCAAAGTGCTTTCATACCTCATTTTTTTCTGTGGTTAGAGCAGGAATTACTATGCCCATTTTATAGAATGCTACTCTCAGTGGGAATTAGTAACTCATACATATAACCTCTTTAAAAGGCATATAAAAAGCTTTCCTCATAATAGCTTGTGAGATAGTGGAATTATTATTATCCCCATTTTACAGATGGGGAAATTGAGTTTCAGGTAAATGAAATGACTTGGCTATGGTGACTAGAAAATTAAGTGTCGGAACCTAGTCTATCAAACCTAGGCCTCCTAATTCCAGATTGATGCTTTTCTCACGGTTCCAAGTTGACATCTGACAGTGTCTACTAAAGGAGGTGTAATTGGTCTCAGCAGATATTCTTAGGCTGTTAGACCCAACCATATAGTTCTCAAATCCATCAACCAGGTTTAGTTCACAGTGGGAGGGAAGGAGCTTCAGCACATTCAGCACAACTATGAGAGATGGATTCTTAAACTGCAAAATAAAGGCAGTGTAATGAGGGTCATTTGCGGGGCGGAAACCAAAGAACTAAGATTCCTTTTCTGAGCAAACATAGCGATGAGGCCAGTGGGATTTCAACTTCAGGATATTGTACTCAGCCCCCTCAAATACTTCTGGCCAGAAGGTTTGAGTTAGTGGGACGAAGATGACTACATAGCGCCCCATGACAGACCACATTCTCATCAGTACAAGGCTGAAACCTTTACAAGGCTCCGCCAATCATGTCTAATAGTCAGTTATATGCTCTTTTGAAGCCTCTTGTAACTTTTTTTTTTAAACCGAAAATTCAGATGCCTGGAAAAATGTCGATTTCACACATTTCGGCCAAAAGACTCGAGTGAGCCTCAGTAACACTGACCACGGGGAGGGAGGGCTAGCTTGATTTCACTCATTCTTGGATAGTAGCTACCGAAAGCCACCTAAAAAGGAAATTCTTTAGATTTCCCTTCAAGTGGGAGCTGGAGTCCGAGATTGTCAAACCCCGCGGGTAGGGGGGATGTCAAATTACTTTTGGTGGTTAGTCTTGTTTTAAGGCGCCCTTCCTCAACTGCCTAGGAATATACAGAGGAAGCCGCGTCTGCTCACCCTTTACTAAGCACGGAAAAATAGTTTGATAAGCAAGAAAGAACACGAGGAGACTTAACTAACAGGGGTTCCCCCAGAGGCAAGGCGCTGCAAGGTGCCCGGCTACTGACTCAGCATCGGGAGGTTCCCGGAGCCTGCAGGTGAGGAGCGGGCTCTGGGTGAGCCCAGGCTGTCCCTGGAGCTGTCTGGGCTCCCTCCCCCACAGCAAATCGTCCCGCTCCACCCCTTTCCCGAGTCAGCCCATCCAACAGGAGGGAGGGGGGGACAAGGAGGTGAGAGGGTGAGACCAAAACTGTAAAGGTACATAAGAAAGCGAAGGGGAGGCGGGAGGAGAAACTGTCTTGGGAAGCTCGGCCACGTTGCCCTGAGAGGGTGGGGGTGGTGGTGGAAATAGAGTTAAGGTGGGGGGTGGGGAGAGAAAGCCAAGCAGGAGCTAGCTACCTTTCCCCTGGCGGGCGCAGGACTGGGTGCGGCGGCGGCGGCGGCGGCGGTGGGAGCCGCAGGTGGTTGTTACGCTGGGCCCTTTTCTCCTCCCCTTTCTTTCTTTTGCTTTTTTTCCGCCCCCTCTCAGCGGCCGCGGTGTTGGCGGCACTTCCCCCTGCTTCCTCCTCCCTCTCCAATCGGGAGGGAGGGAAGGCGACTCGGGCTCTTTCCTGCCTCTTTGCAAACTTCAGCGGGACTCTGCTGGGGCTCCCTGCTGTGCGCCTCGCCTAGCCTCCCGCGGCTCCTCCTTCCCGACATCTCTCTCTCTCTTCCTTCCAACTTTCTCTCCCGGGACTGACGGGTTGGGGAATGCCCCCTCCTGCGGGTGGGAACACCGCCTCCCATTTCCCGGGACCTCCTGGGAAGCGGTTGCTCCGACCCACATGAACCTCTGCTCCGGGTTCCCCCGGGCTCCCTTCGCTAGAGACACCGGCTGAGCCCAGGCAGGGCTAGCCCCTCACCGCCCCTTCAACACCCCCCTCCCCTCGCTCCTTCCTTCCTTCCTTCCCTCCCTCCCTCCCTCCAGCCCGGACAGGAGCCAGAGCCCTTTTTCCTTCCCCCTCCACCCCGCTGTCCAGGATTTTTCTTTGTGTTGGATGAAGACTGTAGAAGAGGGGCCGCCGAAGGGCTTTTGATCTCGCCCCCTCCTCGGACCGGCAGGAGGGCAGCAGACAGCCAGTCAGCCAGACGGCCGCAGGAGGAGGGTGAAGGGAGGAAGCCCTCCACAAACCATGCCTTTTCACAAGAGGACTGTGGAGCCCGTGAAGATGTGCCGGCTGGACGAGGCTGCCGGGGACGAGGCGGCCGGGGTCTCCGGGAGATGCGGAAGCGGCCCCGGGCCGGGGGAGCCGGGCCGGGCTCCGCAGCTGTCGGCGGGTGCTGCAGGAGGACCTGCGACGGCCGAAGGCGCCGGGGCTGGGGCCGGGGGGCTACTCTTCACTTCCCTGGAACAGGTCAGCGCGCACTCCCTGGTTTTCCTGCTCTGGCAGCTCTCTGACCTCTCCCGTTGCGCGGGGGACATCTTCGCGGAGATAGAGGGGCAGGCGGCTGCCCTGGGCCGCCGAGCCGCCCGACTCCACGGCCGTCTGGACGCCTTGCAAGTCGCGGCCGGCAGCCTGGACCACCGCAAAGTCAAAATCCGTAAGTTTCTTCTGGTGTTCTCGGCTCGGTTTGGGGGAGGGGGTGGGGAAAGCCTGGTTGGGAAAGTGGAGTCGACGCTGAGCCCTGCTCGCTCTTGCCCCCTGGCGGCGTCCGGCTGGGGCTCCACTTGGGAAGCTCAGATTTGAACTACAAGGGATGAGCAATGATTTCCAGTAGGCAGTGGTATGAACTGGGAGACAGTTGGCAGGTGTCAGCCTCACGTGATCCCCCTATCTTCTCGGATTAGCATTTACGGAAAGCTCGTGTTTGTGTTGCTACTTTTGTTTTGTTTGTGCGAGTGCGTGTGTGTGAGCCGAGTGTGGGAACTAGGGCTTCTTCCCCATTGCCCCATTCCTCGCGTCTGTCTGCGTGGGAGACTGAGGCAGGCAGACACGTGGTCATCGTAAACAATGGGGAGTTGAGTCAGGTTTGAGAAAGGGCTCAGGGGAAGGGTGTACGGAAACCTGCCTAGCCAGGTAGAACAGGAAAAGAGGGTGGGATATATTTCCAGAAGGACTTCTTGGGGGTAGCCCCTCTGATTGTTTTGTTCCTTGGACATCAAGAAAATTCATTTGTAAAATTCTTTGGAGATTTCAGGTAGTTTGTAATTACTCCCCACCACCACCCTTTTTCCCCTTAGAAAGTATAACATACTCCTTAGTAGTACATCAAAGTGCATTTACTGCTTTTTCACACTTGATGTTAAACTCTGAAACCCCAAGATTGTCTAGCTATGTATTATAGATTGTAAATCCATGATTGATCTACCAATTCTTTGTAATTCATAGATCCCTGACCTTGAACTCACCTCCTGAAATCTCATTCAGTTTCCTTTCCTGACCTCTTTCCAACCCTGAAAATCAAGTTTGTATTATGACATGATGATCTCTCTAAACATCACATTTCATTTCAGCAGCTCAACGGGCTCCTTTGCATGAAGCAATTGGAATTTCCTGCTGGCTCAGGGCAGTGAAACTTTCAGTGGGGTGTGTGTGTGTGTGTGTTTTTCTTTTTTTCCGCCTTGCGCTTTGTCATAGTCAGAGTATAACCAAGAGTAGCTTTAGTGGGTAGGCTGATAGCTTGGAGGAGGAGGGAAGAAGGAAGTATTTTCTGTATGTTACTCTTGCTATTCTTAGAACCAGTGATGTATCTTTTAGAAGAGACCCTCAGGGACCATGTGTGAAATACTATTTCTATTAGGATGAGTTTATTTAGAAACCTGAGAGATGCAGGTTCGTATCTCTATTAGTTAACAAGTGGCTTTAACATCCTTTTTCTTCTAAATATTATTTGAAGATAATTAAGTTCTGACCTTAAAAAAATTACACTGGAAAAGAAAGCTATATAGCTGCATTTGAAACCTTCACACTTATGAGTAGCAGAGTACTCATGAGATAGCTTCCTATAGTGCATCTTTTTTTCCTCTATGTAATAATGTAAGGTGATTGTCAAATGCAGCTGGAAAACCTTTGATCAGGCCGATGAAATGTGTCATTATGAATAGTTCTTTATTTTGGAGGAAATATTTGTGCTGAAACTCTTTCTTATCGTTTAGTGAGAACACCAAAACCAGAAAATTCTTGAGAAGATTCTCCTTTGAGACTGGAAAAGTGCTCATGATTATGGATACAGGACCCTTCTTCCATTATGACGTTTAATACTGTTTTTTGCTTACCTTTTTCTGGGGTATGATGTATATATCAATTGGAATTTACATATTTGGCATACAATTAGATGAGGTAGATCACAGGAACCTATTTTTGGAATTAAAGAATGTTTTCATATAGTAGAACCTTTTGCTGGTTTTATTACATGCTCAGTTGTGCCTCCTTTTCTCTGCCCACATTGTACACATGCTTTTGCTGCCAAAATAGCAAGTGTAGAAAAGGTTGAGGAACAAATTCATGTGATATCTTTCTGTATACACTTGAATTTCCAAAGCTAGCAAAAAGATTGTTTAAATTTTGGTAAATTAAAATGATTCAGCTTCCATCAAGTATTTTTAAATATCTGAAGTTTTTCATTTTGTACCAGAAGGCCTGAACCGTCAAATATTATCTTGATCAAGCAAGAAGAATGTAAACAAACATAATTTAATCCTGAGAACAGAAGTACAATTAATTTGCTCATTTGTTCTTCCCTGCTATGGATATTCATCTTGGTGGTCTTTAGATCTAAGTCTAACATATACTTTATTTTCTTGTAGGTTCTATGGTTGACTTTTAGCCAAGAAATACATATTGGTTTTTTAAATAATTTATGATGTTTGCCTCCTTAGCCTGTTAAAAGGAACACAATCTTTGTGAATTACTCAGTCAGCATTTGTTAAAATTCTTTAATGCATGTGTTTAGGTGAATATATAGATATGTGTTTATATGATATGTGTCTATATACATATAGACACATATTTCAATTGAATTCAGTAAACCTTTATTAAGCATATATGCTAGGCACTGTGCTAAGTGTTGGGGATACAAATAAGATAAAGACCCTTAAAGAACTTACAATCTAATGGGGCAAGACAACACACAAAAGGAGACTGGAAAGCTAGAGAAGAGAGATGATGGGGGCACCTGGGAGCATCTTACTGCTCAGAGTTGAAACCAGGCAGCGCAATAGATGCAAAATAGAGTGATCTTTTCTGCCCTCTATAAAAGAATGCTGGGGCATCTAGGTGGTGCAGTGGATAGAGCACTGACCTCAGGAGGACCTGAGTTCAAATCCGACTTCAGACCAAACACTTGACACCTACTAGCTGTGTGACCCTGGGCAAGTCACTTAACCCCAATTGCCTAAAAAAAAAAAGAATGCTGTGAGAGGAGTTTGGTACTCCACCTTCCATCTCTCCAGACAGGGGAGAGGAGGCTAAGGTAGGTGGTATCAAAATGGGAGGGACATTTTGTTTCATGGAACTGAAACCAGGCAGAGAAACATATGTGAAGTGGAGTGACAGTTGTCTCTGTTAACCATGGAAAAAGTCACATTTTTTTCTTATCTCTGGTATAGCAATGTCACATTTTCTTTAGTCTTTCTTTGTGTAAGTATCTATTATTTTCTTTTGGAAAGACTTTAAAGAATACTATTTGTTAGTATAGAGATACAGGGAGAGTATATAAATAAAATCCCCAAATAGTCAAAACCCTCACATTAACCATTAAGTACCTCTTTCTTGTCAGATAAACCTTTAAAGAGAAGTTTTTTAAAATTAATTTTTTCAGTTATTAAGCAATTTTTTCTCCCTTCCACTCCTCCCTTGAAGAAAAAAGAAAAGCAAAATTCTTGCAACAAATAAGCTTAGTCATGCAAAACAAATGACCATATTGGCTGTGCCAAAAAATGTACATCTCATTCTTCATATTAACTTGTCACCACAGTCAGGAGATAGCATTCTTTATCATCAGTCTTCTGCAACCGTGGTCAGTTGCTGCATTGATAAGAATTCTTAAGTCTTTCAAATTTGTGTGTTTTCACAATGTTGATATTATAGAATAAATTGTTCTACTAGTTTTGCTGCCTTCACTCTGCATCAGTTCATTCAAATCTTCTCAGGTTCCTCTGAGATCAAAGAGAACTTCTAAGAAGCTATAAAGTTGATTTGAGTTTCAATCTTCTCACTCCAGCTTGGACTTGTTGGCCAAAAGCAGGCAGGCAGCAAAAACCCTGAATGGTGTATAAACTGGGGCAACTAGGTGGTGAGTGGATAGAGTTCCAGGCCTAGAGTCAGAAAGACTCTGAGTTCAAACACTTCCTAGCTGTGTGTGACCCTGGACCAAGTTACTTAACTCTGTTTGCCTAAGTTTTCTCATCCGTAAAATGAGCTGGAGAAGGAAATGACAAACCACTTCAATATCTCTGCCAAGAAAACCCCAAATGGGGTCATGAAAAGTCATGAAAAGTCAGACATTACCCAACAACAAGAAAAATGATGATGAGTACCAAAAAAAGGAGAGGAAGCCCATCGTTATTTCTTTTCAACACAAAACTAGGGTTTTTAAATTGTTGACAAACCTTTACCTTGTAGGAGTTTAAATTATATTCTGTGCATCATAGTATTGGTTTTCACTGTAGTAAGCATTCCTTTGAACCCTATAGCTAGAAAGCTATCAATTTTTTTTTTGCATTGTACTTCAAGGATCCATCATTTAATTGCTGCATGTACTCATTGATGTAGATTGCAGCACCTTAATAGATAATAACAATTGCTAGCACTTATTTAATATTTTAAGGTTTGCAACTTGCTTAGATATCTTCTTCAGCTGCCACTAGGGCTAACTTTCTGGCACTAAGTGCCTGACACGTAGTAGGCACTTAATAAATGCATAGTTATTGAGAAGAGAAAACTATTGCTTTTGACATTGTTAGTGTTCAGTGTGAAGAATTGTAACTACAGAGACTCTAAGGAGGTAATATATTAGTTTCTCCAATATCAGTTAGATAAAATAATGACTTAAGACAAAAACAGTGATTCGGAGGCAGCATCATACAGTGAAAAAAGACCAGCTCCGTAGGTGGAAGACCTGCTCAGATCCTGACCTTGTTACTTGTATGACCTCAGGTCCATCCGCTTAACCTGAGTTTTCTCATCTATAAAATGAGGGAGTTGGACTAGATGGATGAAAAAAAGTAAACCTTTTTCAGCATTCTAGTGTTGAATTTTTAAACATTATTCTGTGCATTCTCTTCAATTTCAGCCAAAACTTCCTTAACTTTGTCAACAAAAGTAAATCTTGTTAGAAGCAGTGGGCTCAAGTCTAAAAACGAGGAATTTAGACCAAATGGTCTCTAAGCTTTCTTCTAACTCTAAATCCTATGCTATGATCTCTGCCCTGCAGGGACCCAGAACAGCACTGGCTACATGTGCAACAAAATAAAGATCCTATCCAGCTAGGGAGGTGATGAAACTTTAGTAGGAAGCCTTGGGAGAAGAAAGCACATCTAGCATATCCTTCATCTAAATGATAATTTAGCTTTTAACCTGAGAGTATAATTGTTTGATAAA